TCGCTGTGATCGTCGTCCTGTTTGCGACGTTAAACAATTCCTGAGGACTTTGGGGGCCGTCCATAAACGCCTCCTGATCAGCCAATCGGTTGGTGTAAGGCTGGCTGCACGAGAGGATAAAAATTGCGCAGGGCTGGCCAGCTCAGCAGGACTCGGGGCATAGGGGTGGGCCGTGTGCACACACGCACGCTGTTCCGGATTGCTCAAGGACGTTGACAACAAGAGACATTCAGGAAGAACTGAGGGAGAGGTAGATTCCAGGTGATAAGTTTGGGAAAGATTCCACTCTGCAAACAGCCAATCAAATGATTCTGATTTTATTTTGATTAGTTAGATGTACAACCATTAACATCTGACAGACAGCATAGTTAGAATTGTTTCCTGTTCATTGTGCTTTCTGTTTGCGAACTAGTCAAAGTCAAGATGGTTTCGTTTGTCGGAATCTGAACTTACTTACCCAAATGTTTATACTCTGACTTAGCCACCGATTAATTATTTTAATTACTTTAAATCAGTCTGTGCATTACGCTGCGGTAGGCATCGAGTGTGACCTAGTGCAGACTGTGTATAGTTTTGTAGCTTATGAGCGACAGGCAGACCACTAGCGAGGACGACAAGACCTTGCGATCGGCTAGATGCCCGATAGCCCACTTGGCATTAGGACCAGAGGGCGACAGATTCCTGTTCCGCCAGCTGAGAGAAAGGCAGCAGCAGCAGAGAAGAGCTACAGCAGCAGAGGCCAACAGGGCGTTCGCAAGCGAAGTCGCTGCTTCAGCAGTCATGACAATTGTTGCGCACCAGAGTTCCCAGGCCAACGGTTCAGGAACTGTAGGGTCAACGATTGCGCAGACCCTGAGTCAGTCCACTGGCGTTATGGCAAGCCAGCCCATAGTGTTGACCCCTGAAGAGGTCGCCATACAGCAGGCAGCACTGCAGGAGGCACAACTACAGAAGGCTCTAGGAGAGATAAAGGCAGAGAAAGAGAAGATGATTAGAAGAAAAGCTAGGTTACAGCGGAGACAAGCCGACATTAGCGAGTTAGAGGGGATGGATCTGACGCACATGGATGGCGATGTGCGGACTCTGCGTGCAGTCCTGCTAGATGTAGTAGAAATGCAGGACCACCAGACAACTCTCTTACAGGACACCAAGCAGAGTCTGGTTGTATTGGTCGGGCGAGCGCAGGCAGCTCCATCACCGTTCGGGCCCGGTGCCTGGCCCGTTGTACATCGTCCTCCTTTTGTCCCACCGGTGATTGGGGTATCCCCATATGTCTCTCCAGCATCGGTCCATGTCGTTTCCCTAGGAATGTCGCTAACAAGAGGGTTCTCAGTCGGTCCTAGTGTACAGGTTCTTGTTCAGTCAGTGTATTCCCAACCTCCGTTGCAAGTTGCCGTAACCGGGCAGCCTGTTGTCTCGCAGCCTACACAGCCGCAGGGTACACAGCCCCAACAGCAGTTAGTGCAGCAGCCTAGTCCCCAAGGTCCACAGCCTAGAGTGGGACAGGTACCGGGACAAACCCAATGGGTTCCAAAGACGGCCATTGCCTCTCCCAAACCCTTTTCAGGGGACAAGAGGGGCGAAGACCTTGACACATGGTTGAGGTCAGTGCCAGTCTATGTCAAATGTAAATTGACCTTGCCGCACGAGGAAGTGTTTGTGGCTGCCTCCTATTTAGAGGGGAGTGCAGCAAGATGGTTGAGTGGTTTAGTGCAGCTACAGGGATACGATCATGACTTCCGCGCTTGAGCAGTTAACCAAAAACTTGACGACTTCCTCAAGCTGGTGGAAGAAAGGTGGCATGATCCTCAGGAGGCTCAAGAGGCCACTAACGCGATCCTAACTCTGATCAACAGGCAGTTCAAGTTAGTAAGGGAGGCCACGGACGCAGTAGAGCGTCTGATCTGTGTTCCTGGAGTACGCTACGACCCCCAGGTTTTACTCACCTCGTACCTGAGATGTTTTCCTATGCCTCTTCGGAATCAGTTGGCAGGTGAGGCCAACATCAACATGCACAACTTTCCCTCGTTCAACAAGAAGGCCCTAGACCTTGAGGCAAAGACAGGGCATGGACATACACCCACAAACGGGCGGTAGGAAAAAGATATTGCCTCCCAACTAGAAGGCGAAGGGGCTCATAATGTTCGTCGACGGCGATGGTTCAACCATCGAGTTGGAAGACGACTTCCAGGCGGGAGCAAGTTCAAAGCCAGGCAGCATAGAAGTTTCAGGGGGTGGAACAGTCGCTGCCTCTGTCCAAAAAGGTAAAGCGACCGGTAGACGCCGTGGAGGTTCCCGGTCTAGGAGTCAAGTTGACCCTAACGCTCCTCCATAGGAGAAAGAGGGTCTTACAGAGGACGTGTGGAGAGATCGGTATACCAGGCAGGCCTGTATTCGTTGTGGTCAATATGGCCACAACCAATTCAAGTGCCGCAAGAAGAAGGTAACCGAGAAGATCCCGCCTACGATGGGGCAGGCGTTGGGATCCTCCGCTCTCGTAGGTAGCAATGTAGCCAGCAGTTCTGGCACTGCTCCGGGAAACACGTCGGGCCAGTAGGAATAGTAGTTGTTCCTACTAGGGTCGAGGTGGTGGACACCCTCACCATCTCGAGAGATGGCCCAAGCTACTGACTACATCGTCGTCCCACAAACACATTCGAACCCAGCGATCCTCTGTTCGCTGAATGTGTTTGAGTCCTTAGAGGAGCTACAGGAGTGGTCTAGATCGGACCCGCTAGCTTCTTGGACGGCCATGGCCAAAGCCCCTAAGGGTGAGTTGTTCGTCGGCGAGGTTGTCATCGACGACCGTAAGGCCGGGGCCTATTATGACACTTGCTCGACGCGCGGAACTTCATTAGTCGCGCGTGCGTTGAGAGGCTGCGCTTACAGGGGCAAGCGCAGCGCTTGAGTCGACCTGTGGAGTCGACCTGTGCCAATAAACAGCGCATGGTAATCAATGTCTACCTCAAAGACATTGAGTGTCTCTTCTCGTACGTGGGAGGGGAACTGAGACATCGAGTCTCGTTACTAGCCAGCGATGATCTCCCTATGGATATCTTGTTAGGTATGGACTACCTCTTGGTTGCACAGCCCCAGTTTGACTGAAACCGAAAAGTGGTCAAACACACTTTGCCCGATGGAGGGACCGCAGATTACGTAAGTTTAAGGCTAGTAGTTTGATCGAGTCCTACGGATGTATGTGTGCGGTCGCGTTCTATAATTATTATAAGCAAAATCCGAAGGAGGGTATGTACTTGGTCTATGTCTCTGCAGAGGGTGACCCAATGAAAAGGCCTCCAGAGATAGAGGGAGTGGTCGCTAGGTACCCTGATCTATTTGAAGAGCCGAAAGGGGTTGTTGAGAGGGAGGTCGTCCACACGACAGAGATTATCCCAGGGTCTAGTATTCCAAAGGGTAGGATCTATCGGATGTCTCCAGGTGAGCTCGATGAGCTTCATCGGCAACTCAAGGATCTCATAGAGAAGGGTTGGATCCGGCATAGTGTTTCCCCTTACGGATCTCCTGTACTATTCGTACCAAAGAAGGGGGGGGCCTTGAGGATGTGCATTGACTATAGGGGCCTCAATGCCATCACAGTGAAGAACAGATGAACCGCGTTGTTCAACACTTGTTGAGGCACTACATTAAGCCTAATCAAGTGGACTGGGTTGAGACGCTTGCTCTCATCGCTAGCCTGTACAACAAGCTGTGCACAGCGCCACTGGGGTAAGTCCTAACAGTCTGCTATTGACTTTCAAGCCTAGACTGCCCTAGACTTTCTGCTACCTGAGAACCAGCCCACTGCTGCTCCGGGCACTTTGGAATTTGCCTATAGATATGAGAATCATATGCAGCAGGTGGTAGAACACATGCACAAAGCACAGGCGGCGATGATCGAACAAGCACCGCCGCCCATCTCCGTTTCAGGTAGGGGACAAAGTCTGGGTCAAGGCTTCTTAACTGGAACAGGAGCACGGGATCTCCCGTAAGCTCATGCCGCAGTACTTTGGGCTATATGTCATTCGGATCCCTGGACACCTCCGTGCCTACCCTGTTTTTCACGCCTCCAAACTTGCACCTTTCGAGGAAACTGATCAGTTTCCCTCTCGTCGCTCAATGCTGCCCCCAACCATGGACGGAGAGGTCGACATCGACGACATCGTGGACCACAGGGAAATGCTTATCCCAAGGCCAACAGGCAGGGGACGTCCTCCTAAGCCGAAGCTGCAGTACCGAGTTCAATTCAGACAAAGGAGCATAGATGGTTCACACGGGAGGAGCTGATGCAGACCTTACCGCAGGTTGTCGCCCACTATGAGAAGTTGCTGCAGAAAGGAAAGCGCCAGATTGAATGAACTTCTCAGAGGACTAGCGAAGTATGGAGGAGGGAATGCGAGGCTCAAGGCCTCGATCTGCCCTACCAGGCCCTATTTTCTGTACGGTCAGCCGCCCTAAGTGAAGGCAGGCTCGACCCAGGGCCTACAGGCCTGTTTTGGGTTCACCACGCAACTGGGTAAATTCAGGCAGTTGCGCAGCGCGAGTTGGTTGGAAGCGCCCAGGCCCAGGGTGCCTTTTTCACGTGTAACTGAGGCATGCCCTGGGCCGGATACACAACATGGACCGAACACAGACTGAGGGCAGTTGGGCACTGGTAACCACCTCAGGACGTGGGCCTGATCTGTCTGGACTGAGGCTCAGCCTCTCGGGGCCTACCGGAAGCTTCCGGGCCGGGGCCCAGCATACCGCATGCAGCAGCAGGCCACTTCGATATAGGAAAGGGCCTGCCTCGACATTCGACATTCAAGCACTGGCTGCATGCTGCGCAAGCGCTGCTGCGCTAACGCTGGCCAGCGCTCACGCGCTCACGGGCGAGCTGGAAGGAGCAGGCAGCCATAGCCGAGCTGCGCTGCTGTATGCTAAATGACGCGCATGGTGGTTCTTGGGTGCATGTGGCATCTGTGAGTTGGGGATCGAGGTTGTGAGTGATACGAGAGACATACCTGGTGCTTGAGGCGAACAGCATTGTCCGAGATCTGCTCGTACTTCGGGGAGCTGTTGACGTCATCCGCGGCATCATAGATAGGCTAGATAGGATCTGCCATCTGTAGTCTGGGCGCCAAGCGCCAGATACGATATCGACATTGGTCTTCGTTGATGATGCCGAGACTATTCCAGCATTGTCAATTATGAGCTTCTGCTGTGCTCTTATTTGGTGGAACTCGTGATGCAATTCTGCCATTGGTTCGAGGTCACGACTATCTGGTCTCATGTATATAATGCTGTTTGATTGCTGAAGTTCGCTATTGCTCATTTTCCTTGCACCTTCTTCATTTATTTGGATTTCTCTTTTTCCTTTCCATTTGACTGTGCCTTTACCATAGCCTGTCACACTAGAGTAGAGTCTGCTAGACACTTGCACGCTGCCTTTTTTTTTCTTTTTCTTTTTTTTTTTTTAAGACACTTGTGTACTGCCTGCATGGATGCGTATAGTATTTTTTTCAATTTTTTTGACATAGAAGGCAAGGGCATTCCTGTCCTACGGGACATCCGTTAAAATTGGAACGATACAGAAAAGGTAACTAGCAAAATGGCCCCTGCACGCAAGCATGACACACATAAACAAGAAATGGTCCAAATTTAAAAAAAAAAAAGAAAAAAAAAGAAAGGAAAGGGCGTCGGAGACGGCATACCTCGCGAGACTACTCTCACTTCAGCCAAAATTCCACAACAAATGCGCTAGAAAAATCCAAATCCAGTTTGAGAGCCCCTGTTATAAGCTTCGATTGGGCAGAGCGACAACCAATAGTGTGTCTTTCGTTGTTCCCACAACAAGGCAATCTTGTGTAGGATGCGATGCTACGACAGACGCACCCTTGACTGCCAGGCTATTCACAGGTTGGCGAGCTTGCTCCCATCCCTTCTCGCCGCTTCTCTCCGACACAGCCCGTGCAGCGCCACCACTCTTCCCTGCAGCCACGCCGAAGTATCCGTGCCCTCCCTCATCACCACCACCTCCCCCACGAGAACGAGGTAAAAGTGCGCGCCTAGAGAAGTCGAGGAACTCAACACTGCCGTCAATTGCAGACGGAGTGCAGTACACCGAGAGCCCTCGGAGCCAAGCCGGTCGTCGTCTAAACCTGCTGCTCTTGACAGCGTTAAGCAAGTCGCTGCCAAAGGCCCACGGCGGAGGGGGGCAGTCGGCATGAAGGATGCGGCGCATGCCGCCGGTGTCCAACACCCCAGACCACCCGTTGTTGAGATGGAATGCCAGGCGGCAGCCATCGGATGGGTCCAGGGCAAGGGCGTGTACCGCGCTTGGTTCAAAATCACCCTCATGAGTCAACAACGACGACGACGACGACAGGGGGACAGTCTCACCTCTCTCCCGCCCTCTACTCGCCATCCGCATCGCCCGAAACAACTCGTCGAGGGGAGTTACATGAAGAGGCAGATTTGCTCGAACGTCGCCAGCACCACTAAATGCACAAGAGGAGCTTGGGTCACTGCGATTGCACCCGCCAACCCTGAGGTCCCAGGTGTAAATGTTCCCTCCCTCACTGCCGCCGTAGACCACCTGCTCGTCATTGGACAATTCGATGGCATTGACGGCACCCATGGAGGCATGCACACCACCCATCATGGCACAGGGCAAGTTCCCTCTCCTGCGGTCCCAGACAAAGACTTTACCGTTCTTCCCCGTGCCCACCACTCGACCCTCCCACAGCTGACAGACGGCAATGTCCAAAATGCCATGCTTCCCGACTTCCGTGGGGTGAATGCTCTTGCTGACCCTTAAACTCTGCTTTGGGATCTCTGTACCCCTCACTCCCAAGTCAAATATGTGGACGCCTTGGGAGCCCCTGCCAGAGCACCCACAGGCCACCTCATTCTGATTAAAGGGGTTCCACTTGACAGACTCCAGCTTCTCGTTGGTCCCCACAAGGATCGCGGCGTTGTACAGGCATCGCGGTCGGTGGACGCGTAAAATATCAAAATCGTGCACAGATAGAACCCCCTTCGAATTTCCAACGGCCAAGTAAACACCCTTGCTGTCAAATGCCATATCCAGGACAGAGGGTATCCCTCCAACCGCCGCTGTGTCAGTCCCACCAGCACCACTCCCAGCGCCAAACGGCTCTTCCCTTACGTAATCAAAGCGAAAACTACCATCACCCCCTCCTCGATGACCCCTCGGTGCTGTCGGATTGCTACCCCACACAGCAACTTCTGGATCTACCCACAGATCTAGTCCTTCTATTGCACTAGGAGAAGACCACAACAAGGAGTTCTGCACGTTGACTACTTGGTCAACGGACGAAATGAACCGGAGGATACCCATGCGCCTGTCATGTTCTGCGAGTCGACCACACAGCTCTCGGGTCATCGTTCCCAACCTACCACTACCACTCCCGTGTACTCCTCGCTTTCGGCCTTGAGAATCACTTGCATGTTTCCCTCTACAGCCCGATATCGAAACGATGGCAGCTTCAGACGGAGACGAGCATCGGAGCTCTTCTTCAAGGATCAATGGCAACTTCCCGCGAACAACGAATCGGTCCATCACTCTCCTGTGTTCTCTCTTTCCTCTCCTCAGTCATTTCCTGTCAAAAAAAAGAGAGAGAGAGAGAGAGACAGAGCAAGATGGAGAAAGGTCGCACCGGTGAAAAAAGCTGTGCAGGACAACTGCTGAAACGGGCTGACAATTCACACCCGAATAGAACGCCCAATCGAGTCCTAAAAGGAGAGGTGCGGAAATGGCAGGGAGAAAAGTACATGCAGTGCAGGAAAAAAAAAAAAACACCTGTGATTGCCTGCCCCCGGAATACCCAATTAAGCGATCAGTGAGCGCAAATGAGAGAGCTGAGTTCACCCTCTCGCAAAAAAGTGCACTGAAAGTCATTTGCCCCACAAAGCCCAGAAAGTGGTTCGAGTCCGTTTGACCCATAAAGCCCTGACAGTTGATTTGACCTTGAGTTGTTGACAGCCTTTTTTTTTTTTTTTTTTTTTTTTTTTTTGGGCAGTGTTGATAGCTTTTGTTATGTTTCCAGGAAGATTTTATTTTTTCTCCAAAAATACCAAAAAAATCAACAGTACCATACCAACTAGCCTAGGTCAGTCGGTACAACCCTGAAGCGTTTGAAATACAGACACCTACCTGAGTCCGAACTCCGGTGGAAGCAGATTTGAGTAAAAAATACTGCATTGTTGAATTACCCGGGGCTGATCAGTTGATGGAATCTCAAGGCCGTCGCCCTTGTGAGAAAAAGAAAAAGAAAAAGAAAAAAAAAAACGAAACGAGTGCCACTTAATCGACTATACATACCAACTTTTCACAGATCTCTATGCTGGGTTAGGAACTGTCCTCCTCCTCCTCCTCCTCCTGCTGCTGCTGCTTCTGCTGCTCCTACTTTCTTTCCCACAATAGAACGTACAATGATTATCTACTGCATCTATACTGAAACTTGCACCAAATACAGGCACAATGACCGTACATTTATTGGGGCGAAGAGGGTGCAAAATGCAGAATTCTGCTTTATCAAAAGACTTGTGCGTAAAGGAAGAATTAACCTCATTTTTTTTTTCCCTTTTTTTTTATTTTTTTTTTAACTAAGAAAACAGAGGAACAAAGTCAGGAAAGATCTGGAGCAATCAGGAACGATGTGTCGTCAGCACTTAGCGAAGCACAGACTGCTAAGCCTTATTATTATTATTATCTCTTTGCTTTCTTTTTTAATAATAATTCAATCCGGTGCCCATTGCCACAAGGCCACCAGTGCTTCATCCACTCCCATAAGGACGGACGGAATAAACAGAACCACTCCCCGCTCCACTCAGAAAGACACAGAGAGAGACACACACAGAGAGAGAGAGAGAGAGAGAGAGAGAGAGAGAGAGAGAGAGAGAGAGAGAAGAAAGAGACCGACAACAAACACACTTGACCCTTAAGCAGCAGACAACGCAAGTGCAGGAGGCATTGCGGAAGTTCTGGAATGCGTAGGCTTAGGGTTTAAGCAGCAGACAACGCAAGTGCAAGGAAGGCGTAGACCCATAAGAAAAAGAAAAACCTGGCAGCAGACAACGCAGACACAGATATATCGGGCCTCGCTCCACTGCTCTCCACATGCACAAACGACAAAAAAATATATCGAATCATAGATGTATCTTTCCGTGTTTCGCAGAAGGATTCGGAATTTCAGAGTCATTTTGCGCATTCGGAGAGTACTGGAGCCAGCAGGCCCATCCGCTCGCAACAAAACAGGACAGAGGGGATATACCACCGAACCCCTTTTTTTTTTCTTTTTCTTTTTTTCTTTTTCTTTTTTTTTCTTTTCTTTTTCTTTTCTTTTTTTTTTTTTTTTTTTTTTTTTTTTCTCCTTTTACTGTGAGTCTTTTTTCGTTGGAAAGCCGTTACCTTCTCAGCATCTTGTCTTTGTTGTGCGGTGTGTGTAATGGGCATCCCCGCACAACTCACCAAATGCAGAAAAGACAAAAACGATGGGCGTGCATCTTTCCATGTTCTAGCGGAAGATTCATTCTCATTGTTTTTGTATATTTGGTGAGTAGAGCAGCGAGGGACAATGACCCACACAGAGTTGCAGTGTGAAAACCCTGAACAGTTTTTTTTCCCTGAGAAAATGATGTCCCTGGTGTCCCGTTGATGCACAAACGACAAAAACGATGGGCGTGCATCTTCCCATGTTCTACCGGTAGATTCATTCTCATTTTGTACAGTGCGGCAAGGGCCAATGACCCACACTTCCTGAATATCTTTGTGTGACTATCAACCCATCTTGTATGTATCTGTGTATGTATGTATGTCCACATGCATGATTGTACGTATGTACGTATGTATGTATGTATGTATGTATGTATGTCTAGATGCATGATTGTATGTATGTATGTGCTTACTTGTTGGGTGTTGACTCTGTCTGTGTGTGCAAGTGCATGCGTCTGTTTTTGGGCGAGTCTCAGTTCGGCGCGGGCCCAGATGGTGCGATCGACGGTTGGCCTGGGGGATTCGATGGAGGTCGTCTTCAGCTATAAGCGTGCCACTAATGTTAAGCAGGTCTTGTAATGCACACAAAAAAATGTAGTAATCAGCATCCAATCAGCATCCAATCTGCTCTTCCAATCCAATCTCCTTGGCAGTTGCTCTTCGCTTCCAATCTGCTTGGCAATTGCTCTTCGTCTGTGCAATGGCAGAGGGGAGTTGTCCGAAGTGGCCTTGTCATGTGAGCCTCAATGCTGGGCGTGCATTTTCGGCCATCTCCTACAAGGCACAAGCCAAAGACCAGAACCAAGCAGCACGTGTCAGAATCATCACATGATGGACAGCGTGGCACTCTCTCTCTCTCTCTCTCTCTCTCTCTCTCTCTCTCTCTCTCTCTCTCTCNTCTCTCTCTCTCTCTCTCTCTCTCTCTCTCTCTCTCTCTCTCTCTCTCTCTCTCTCTCTCTCTCTCTCTCTCTCTCTCTCTCTCTCTCGATCGCTCGATCAATCGATCTTCAATCGATCTTTCGATCAATCGATCTCTCGATCTGTCTATCTATCTATGTATCCCCCTCTCCCCTTACGCCTGGCCTCTTTCCTCCCTCCATACACCAACCACCACCCACCACCCAACCTCGTCACTCCCTTCTACTTCCTGCCCTGCCTGCTCCCTACTTCTCCCTGCCCCCTCCCGGCCTCCTCCGGACCTCCTCTTCACCTCCCCTCCGCCTGGCCACCTCCCTCCGCTTCCTTCGCGCAATCTCCGCCTCACCTCCTCCTTCCCCCGACCTTCTCCCTCCCCTTCCTCCTCTGCCAGATCCGCAGTGACCTCCTCCTTCCCCCGATCTCCTTCCTCCCTTCCTTCTTCGGCACCCTGTCCACCTGACCTCCTTCCTCCATTCCTCCCTCCACCCCATCTCCTGCCTCCCTCCTTCCTTCCTCCCTCCGACTGCCCTCCCTTCTTTCCTAACGCCCGACCTAAGAAGTGCATTTCATTTTCTTTCTTTGTTTTTTTTGCTGGACGACGTAAGGGCTGCATTTCTTTTCGAGCTCGCAATAAGTGTACATGTGCGCAAAAAGGAGAGAGGGAGAGGGAGAGGGAGAGGGAGAGGGAGAGAGAGAGAGAGACACATTTGATCTAATTATTTTCCTTGTCCACATCCTCCTCATGCTCTCTTCCTTCTTCGCACCTTCTTCTTCGTCTGTCTCCTCCGCCACCCAATGTGTCTTTCTCTCCCTCTCCCTCTCCCGCCTCCTCAAGCTCGTCCACTTTCACATTCTCCCTACCGCCTCCTCAAGCTCTTCCTCCTTAACACTATCCCTCCTGCCTCCTCAAGCTCTTCCTCTTTAACATTATCCCTCCCGCCTCCTCAAGCTCTTCCTCTTTCACGTTCTCCCTCCCGCCTCCTCAAGCTCGTCGCCCTCGTTAACATTCTGCCTCGCTCTTTGTGGACGTAAGGGTTTACGATTAATCATCGAACTGACCCGTGCCAGGTATTTCAAGCGATGACTACTTATTTCCAC